TTATATTCCAACGTCATAAATATTATAGGAAGACATTACCTTAAGCAATGCCTACAACTTGCTATAAAGAAAACAAAAGAAATTGATTACTAATGTAATATTGGATTTATACTTAAGTGTGAGACGCAGTAAATGAACAATTCTAACCTTCAGTAACAATTCAATGTAACAGATTTGAAGGACTACTAATCAAGTTGCATATTTACCGCGTTATAAGCAGAATAACTGTAAAAAGCTGTATACGAAGTACCCGTTTTTTTCTTGTTTCTTTTTTTTTTTTTTTTTTGTATATCGGCACATTACCTCACTATATTTGTGTTAAAATTTAATAAATGTTTTGACCAATTTATGATAGCTACATCTATATCCTGTATGTTAACTGCTGTATGATACTTTTCACAGGGAAAATATCATCTTCATTGAAATCCGAGACTGTAATGCAAACACCCTCATATCGACAAACTGAAAAATATATGCCAACCATTAGAAGGAGCCAACAATGAAAGTAAAACAAAACAAATGACAAAAGAGATGATTTCAGCTTATCAATTGTAAACTATCTATGTAGAACATTCCAGCAGCGCCTGCATATGGAGTAATATATCTCATAGTTGAAACAATATTCCAGAGCTTGCATTTCCTATCATGATAACCTTGATAGAGGGCTGATGCTTACATGATGGAAGCTATAACACCAAGAGTTTTAAGTGGTGAAGGTAAAATTGTCCCATACGGACACCATCATGAGTTGGTTGACCGTTATGGATAATCTGTTTCACAGATACCGACGGATATATTCCAATTGTCGTAACTTTAATACCGTCCTCTTTTCTTCGAATGTGACCTACCGAATTAGACTTATCACCGGTTTAGTACTTATATGAGCAACACGATGTGTTTTTGTGTTGCTCAGTCTTTAGTTTTCTATGTTGTTTAAGAAACCAATACTGTTTGTCTTTTGATATTCTTTGCGCTCGCTTCATATCCAGAAATCAATGCTTATTTGAATATTGTACTAAAGAAATCGGATACGGGCCACTGAAATTATATTGAAATGATAGGGAATTTTGAAAAAAATGGCTGTTTTAACTTTAATTTAAGTGATAGACAGGTTGCGGGGACAGAAAATAAATATACACAACAATATGCACCATTTAAACGAAGCATAATGACTGTCGTTGCAAAAATCAAGGTTCCTGAGCTGTTTTAAAAATCGAAGCGAGAGGCTTTTAGCATTGCAGTATAAAATACAGGCTAAAATGGCTGAAACGTCAAATTGTTGAAAATTGGCTAACAAGGTCATTACAAAAACAGGTTGCGGGGATGAAACTTGAAACTTGAATGTCAAAAGAATAAGCAAGTCCAAACCTTGTATGTGTAGTCATTGAACTCTATGTTCCCACGTAAAGTTAAAATGCCCCTATTTCAAGAAGACTAAACTCACGAAAACACGAAAAATTCACTAAATTCGCGTTTATTGTTTTGATTTTGACCGCCTGACAACTTTACGGAAATATCAGAGTGATTATAAACAAGGACTCTGTGACGGGCAACTTATAATATTCGTGTTTTAAAGATTTTAATGATATCAAGCCAGTCCAGTTCAAACTATTATCACGTGGTACAATTCTCATTTACATATTATGAATATTAATTAGCAAAAGTACTACTAATTTCTGGCTATGTGTAGACACTTATTTCAATTCTAAAAAAACATTTCAACTACAATACCGAATTCAAAGTTAAATTCAAAAAGGGAAAAGTCCATTAAACCTGACAGAACATAACGCTTAACAATGTCAACCAATGGCACGAAAGGAAAACAACTGTAATATTCCTGACTTGGTACAGACATTTTGCGAAGAAAATGATGGGTGAATCCTGGTTATATAGCTAGCTTACCTCCCCCCAACAAACATACAAAAAAAAAATTGACAAAGACGCCATCAAAAAATGTTTTAGTAGTTTACAGTACAGTATAGTGAAACATACTGACATACACTTTCCCAATCAGGTATAAATTAAGTAAAATGTAAATATGTTAGATTAAAACAACACTATACAAACCTCATGAATCGCACCTCTGGTGTAACATTTATTTATATGCATACACATTCACATCCGATTGGATGGCGAACGGGATATTTACTTTTCCTGTTGGAAGGTGTCAAATTATCTGGACGTAAAATAACCTATGAAATAACCCCTTGAAGGTGGCCTATTGCGAGTAAAATGATTTTACCTTACTAAACATATGCTGAAGTCAAATCTTTACGAATTGCATTGGCATTATTGGTCTGACAGATGACTTATTCTTTTCAAAATACAATATCAAATATTTGCCACTGGACAATAGGTAAACACCATTCAATTGATAAGTTATAATTTATATTTTAACAAAACAGCATATTAGCGGTAAATGTTTTCATGGAAAGTGATATTACCCATGCTTCAGTTTTCTATCAAAAGAATAAGATCCTACGGAGAAATGCTAAACCGAAATCTATAAATGTAGGGTAAATAATTGTCAAAAAACATTATACAGAAAGCTACTAGATTGGTCAACCGGGACTCTAGAAAAATCCAGTGGTGAACTCGTGTGTGGAGGAAGGGTCGCAGTCCTCAATCAGTCCCATGTCCATCCAGTTTACACATTATAAACTTGTTTAATCTTGAATATAAATGACATATTTGCCATTTAGCACATTACTGCGGTTTCATTTTTAATATTATAATTATTAAACAAACAACCATTGTCATGTCAAAAAACGAAAGACGACGAAAAGATAAACAAGTGCACAAAATACTTAAAAAAAAACAACTAAAGACTGAGGAACACGAGCCTTATCAAAACTGAGATTCATCTATGAGATATGGGAAGGTTAACATATCTTGTTCACATATTGCATTTGTAAGTAAAGTAAACATTTTGTGATATCCCAATCGAGGAGGCAAATGGGAACAGGACTTAGGATCTATGAGACTGAATATAAAACAAATATTTACATGCAGCTAAAACTAATACAATGTAGATTGTATGCATAAAAAGTAAAATCACAAAAATACTGAACTCCGAGGAAAATTCAAAAAGGAAAGTCCCCAATCAAATGGCAAAATCAAAAGCTCAAACACATCAAACGAATGGATAACAACTGTCATATTCCTGACTTGGTACAGGCATTTTCTTATGTAGAAAATGGTGGATTGAACCTTGTTTTATAGCTAGTTTAACCTCTCACTTGTATGACAGTCGCATCAAATTCCATTATATTGACAACGATGCGTGAACAAAACAATCAGACACAATAGGTTAAAATGTCAAAAATAGGGGTGTAGCAGTCAACATTGTGTTATCATTTTAATCACTATAAAACTATAAAAACAAACAAATGTAACGAAGAAGCACAAAAAGGCATACATCAAATTTAACATCCTCATTTTTTTTTATTATACGATTTTATTTATCTATGTAAGATCCACCCATAAAGGATGGAAGGTTATAGGTACTGGCGTAAAATCGCGCGTTTGAAATTCACACAGGTAGACATAAAATAATTTTGTCGTTCAAAGTATGACGGGATACATAAGTACAGAGATACGTCAAATGGATATCACAAAAAACAGACTTAACAGTACAAGTAATATTAATAAATAAAATAATTTTGTCGTTCAAAGTATGGCGGGATACATAAGTACAGAGTCACGTCAAATGGATATCTAAAAAAAACAGACTTAACAGTAAAAGTAATATTAATAAAGACAAATAAAAGAATACTATAACACGCTATTAAGATGATAAACAACGTCAGTAAGCAGAATCTATACTTCAAGACCATCGTGTATTATTTGAGAAGTTGATACGGAATATTTATCAACAAGGTCTTGGTACCTTCCGATGAACTTTTTTAGAAAAAGGACGAGACGTTCTTTGACATACCCTTGGTTCATCAACTTTCTGCTCAGACACTGGTGACGTTTTACAAAGTCTGAGTAGAAGCTGCAAGCTCTTGAATACCGAATAAGTTGGGAAATGTATATCCCATATGCAGGTGAAGTTGGTATATTGCTACTACATAATATTTAGCAATGCAATATATGACGTCAAACTCTTTTGCAACCCTAAATGTATATAAAATAAAAAAAACACAAAATAAAAGCAGTATATTCTAATATGTATATTCTGATAATAAAACAATGACACTACGATCTTATCAACCATTTTGTTTGATTTGTCTTTATTATTGAAAGACATAAAGATAAATATTACGTTCATGATTATTTAAAATCAAATACAAAAATATTTGTGAAACATCCATGTGATGAAATTTTTATCTCTTAAATTCTAAGATAGTCCTGTTACACATCCGATTAGATAAGCTGTAGTCACGACTACCCTTTGTCAAAAGTTAGCACATGCAATCTATTTCATTTATTTTCAATTCAATTGTAAGAAGCTTTATTATTTTTGATATGTTCACGGAACAAATGTGATGCTAAGGGCCGTCTTAAACTTGCAATGAGGTGAACCATTATTGTTGCTCCTTGTTGAAGGCCTCTGTGACTTTGAGATGAAGAACAGCAATAAAAGCGCTGTTTCTTTGCTTCTTGTATATTTTTTTCTGTATATATACTGATTTTACTGATTTTGTGTCATGGATGGATACTCCATATCCTTTGTTTTTATATTAAACTATACAAGTCTGTTGTCAAAGACAAAAGTATCAATCATCCAACATAATTAGTGTAAATACGTCATAAACAGTCTGAGAAACGCATGGCCTTGTGCAATGCAAAAAAAAGTAAATAGTATCGACAAATTAAAGTTCCTAGCACAGGGTCAAAGTAAACAGTATCGACCAATTAAAGTTCCTACCACAAATCCAAAGAAAACAGTATCGAATAATGGAACATGTGGAAGCTCGACACAGATCCATAGATAAGTATTTTGTTTTACATTTAAGAATGGCATTCAATTCTATGATATTCTACCAACAAACAAATTATGCAAATTGAAGTTTATTAGAAGAAAAGCAAAATCCTGAACTATACACAAAACGTTCAGTTTTAAAATACATATTATTGTGGTTGATTCTTGTAATGCATATGTCAGTGCATAGTACACTTAGTCTAATTATCAATTTGTATACTATCTGAAAAATACAATCATGTTTATTTTACTCCATGATATTAACAAATGTCATATGATTCAAGAAAACAATATTGAAAGAAGGTCACAACAATATTTATTTTTGGATATCAATACTATATATGCAAAATCTACAATTCTCCTATCTATTTCGTCTCACGTCATGCGTATTTCATTGAGTTTTTTTCCAGATCTATGTGACGTAGTAATTCCTCCTGAAAACATTACAGATGACTGTTAAGCAATAATGTATAATTGCTTATATTTTTCTGTCATGAAGTTGGTACTGTATCGCCGCCTATAGTATAGACCAATGAAATTCTATTGATGCAATATCTGTGTAGGGCTTTAATTTTACAAACAAAGTTTTGTAACAGCTGCTGACACAAAAGTTTCCACCACTTTGTAAATGATATAAATAAGAAGATATGGTATGAGTGCCAATGAGACAACTCTACATCCAAGTCACAATGTATTAAAAGTTAACAATAATAGGTCAAAGTACGGCTTTCAACACGGAGCCTTGGCTCACACCGAACATCAAGCCAAAATGACTAGTGTAAAACAATTCAAACAGGAAAACCAACGGTCTATAGATATAAGAAAATGTGGTATGAGTGCCAATGAGATAACTCTCCATCCAAGTCACAAATATAAGAAACGAGAAACGAGAAACACCTATAAACCACACCAACAAACGACAACCACTGACCATCAGGCTGAATATAGATATAATATTACTAATTATCAAAAACAACCATACATATAATTTTACACAAAACTAAAATATACATCATCAATGCATACATACGAGTTCACTGTTATTCTCTTTAGAAGTTTTGAGTTTAACCGTAAATCAACTGTCCCTATTGAAATCCAAAGACAATTGTTTACTACACAGCTGTGATTATAACTGTGTGCAGCACAAGATTTATACAAAAAAGAAGGAGGTGTGGTATAATTGCCAATAAGACAACTATCCACCAGAGTTCAAATGAAGTTGATGTAATGGTTTCAGACGTTTACCTCATAAATCAACAAATAAAGAATCAATAAATTATGTTATAAAACATAGAATTGTTATCCCTCTTATAAAAATATATGTTATCTAAAAAAGGGTTTTGCCATTAATACATCTGTAAGATTTTAATGTTTAATATTCTAACTACGTTGTTTTTCTGATTGCTGCAATATATCTGTATGCATATGTATGCAAATTGAGATGGACACTGTGAAGCATTGAGAATCAAGTACTTTGTTTTAAGGAGATTGACGAAATTTTTCAAATAATCTGTATTGAAGGATGATGTTATATTCAAGCAGTTTAATGCCAAGATTGTTCGAATTTTTCTTAGCAATATCCAGGAGGTTTCTGAACAATTTCATAAGTCTTTGTTCATGCCTTTTCTTGTTGCTGATTTCCTCTTTTCACTTCGTTAGTGCAACCTTCCTTCACTGTTGTCACCTTATTTGCCTTTGAACATTTCTGACAAATGGTGACCCAGTCGAGGATAACAATAAACCCAACAACGAGCGCAATGCACAGTGCTCCAACTAGACCCATGGTCTGTGATGACAACCTGTCGTCCGGGGCACTGGTTATTGACCTTCTGTATTCTACAAATATCAAGAGGTATAAATATCTATGTATTAAGTACAGATTAATGACCGAAGTATAAACCATTTTAAAAATAATAGCGACTTATTCAAGTTAAAATATCCTCTCTTGTATATATACTAGCCAATAAAAGAAACGATACCCAAATTTTATCAAAAATATTTATTTTCTTTTTCAACATTCCTATTTCATTGTTTTTTTTGTTTTTGTTTTATTATTCTATAGAACAATGACATAAAAGCATACAAACATAACAAAGAAAACAGATCCAATTATTTTCCTTATTGCAAGGACAGTTTGATGATGTCGTTTTCGAACCCAAAAGTTGGTTATTGACCTTCTGTATTCTACAAATATCAAGACGAATAGTAATGTTAATAACGCGTATGACCACCTCTTGCGTTGATTAAATCACTAAATCGATTCCTGCACAAACCATCACACTACCACAATTAAAGCGATAAAATTCATACACACATGCGTCTGCATAACGTTCATTTTGCATTGGCGACTGTGAACTCTCATTCTGCCATCTCTTCCACATAACTGAAATCTTGACTTTTCACTAAAGATGACGTTTTGCCACCTTACACGATTCCAATACGCACGTTGCCCAACGTAGGCATGCAGTCCAATGGCGTTGTTTTAGAATGGCTCCTACTACTAAACATCGTGGACGTAAACCAGCCTCTCTAAGGCTATTACGAACAGTTTTGGCGGATATTCTTGTATTATGCGTCCCAGGTGTTTGTCTTGCAGTCACATACAGACTTATGACTGTTTTCGAACATACAGCTAGTGGCAATAAATAATTTGTTGGTAATAAAAATTATTATGTAAATAAAATTGGGTATCGTTTCTTTTTTTGGCTAGTATATTTTTTAAGTTAATCCCGGCGAAAAACTGCACTAAGTCTTCTAGTTTATAATGAAGTTTAATAATAAGCGGATTTATTTAGATCACCACTACAAAAAGTTTACATATTCATAGGAATGCCCAAATCAAAGAAAATGCGTTCATATATTCTATATACCTTTACATTTACAGACACTTTACATAAATATTTGTATTTGGAAGATTAAGGTAATTTGGGAGAAAAATAATTTTCATTTCTCTTTTTTTTTGGGTAAATACGAAATTAAATAAATTATCGTACAAGGAAATAAATATTGATAGTACTGTAGAAAATATTTTTAACAAATACAATAACAGAAAAAAATATACATGTATTAGGAATAAAGAGGTGAATTAAAGCAAATGAATACGGATATTTCCTAAACAATATCTTACTACTAGTAGCTTTCCTTTCGACTGTAAGCACTTTTTCCAGTTTCTGAATTTTGTCTTGCAAGTTGGTTTCTGGTAATGACTTGTTACATAATTTGTAGCAATAGCTGGAAGATGCTAACTGCACAGGGATGGAACAGATATCAGCTTTGTGTGTTAACGGCTGGCATGTTGATGCTTTGACTTAACGCAAAAAGAGAGACCATGTTGAGCGATTAGTTTAATATACACAACAGTAGTTTACCAATGTTCAAATCTCATATATCAAAAAAACAGACAAATAAGGGTTACACACAAAATTTAGGGTATCGAATGAACTCCAAAAGAAACAAAATCGTGTTCGGCGAGAGGGTAAGCGCCTCCTACTATCAGTGTATCACCGCCATACAAATCCATATTCAGTCAAAATGACACAATTGGGAATGGAACATATTCGGTAAAATTAACGATTATAGACGACTTTTCTGGTATCTAAAGGTTTCGATTGAAAATAATGTAAATATTTTTAGCATCATATTGGCCATGATATCAGTGTTGAATGTATTAAAATCAATTTCGTAAACTTTGGATTTTCTTCTTTCGGAAAGGAAATATATGTTTGATCAGTGAATATAAATTGAAAGTGATAATGTGAGCATATGCATCTGTTATTTGACAGTAACGACTGACTTTGTATTGATATTATTTTTCATTTACAATATTTTTTCTTAATGGTATATTAATTGTTTCTTTATATTTGAACAATACCCAACTTACTCATGAAAAAAGTAATTATGTTCATATACATTTCATTTACTTGTAAAACATACCGGGTGCGTTGCGTTCTGCATGTTCTGTATTTTTTCTAGATTTTTATTGAACAAAAGTACTTTTCGAGTAAGTATAACATAAACATATGCCAAAGTGTTTAAATAACCGTGCAATGATCATCGAGTTTACTAATAACTCTATTGTTTGTCTTTTTTTCTTTTTAGGCATGGCGTTGTCAATATAAAAATAAGGAAATGAGGTATGATTTCCAATGAGACAATTATCCACCAAAGTTCAAATAATGTGGATGTAAGTCATTATAGGCAACCGTACGGCCTTCAACAATGAGAAAATCCCATACCGTATAGTCGGCTATAAAAGGCACCGACACGAACATTATGAAACAATTCAATTGAGAAAACTGACGGCCTAGTTTATAACAAAACTATTAACGAAAAAACAAATATGACATACATGAATCAACGACAACCACTGAATTACAGACTCCTCACTTGGAACAGGCACATCATATCCAACTAAGTCAGACATCACGTGACTTTTGTGACGTATACTAGTCGCCATTTTGTATTATATTGCCCCATATAAAATGCATAGGTGCTTCAATAAAGTTGAGTTTTCTCATGAACCTGACCCGTTTTCTAACTTTTGCAAATCAATCCTTGATATTCAAACATATTTCTATCAAACAATGTTGGTCCTAACAGTTTAATTTTTGATTAAATTCTGTCACTGGAGAATCGTAAAAACATGTACTTTTTCTCGTTATTTCTCCGTTGACTCAATGCTAAATTACCGATACCCATGTCTACTTGTAGAACAAATAAAGAAATTCCGTTAATAAAAATAAAACTTTGCAACTCGATTAAGTATATTCAAACATATATCTGGCGAAAAATACTATTTAAAACAGTTTAATTTCTGGGCAATTTCGGTCAAAAATCGATTTAAAAAAGTGAATATTTCGGGATTTTTCAAAATGGCGGATGATGTATATGGAAATGTTGCATCAAATCGAGGATTTGTATAGTAAGACTTTCCTTGATTTAATTTAATTTTCATGTAGAATCTCTGATGTTTCAGTTATTTTCTTTGGTGATATTTCGATATGATTGATTTCAAAATTTATTGATTAAAAAAATATTATTTTAAGTGTGACACGGGAAAATTTTATTTCGACAGATATCCAGGATATACTGTTACCAGAAAATAGTTAACAATAAAATTTATAATAAAATTTTTTCTCTTCTTTTTTTAAAAGTTTTTTTTCCTGTTTTCTGTATAATTTATCTTTCTTTAGAAATATATTTATACATTCCTTTTAGAACAAAAAAATATTTACGTCCCAAGAGAGAAAAAAATCCCAACAATTATTATAGATAAATATTCCATACCTTCAAAATCCCATCACTTGACGAACAGGTGAACTCTGACTTTGGATGTAATGTTACATAACAATATATTGTCAGGTAGACGTGCAAACCAAAAGCAACCAGGTGACATAAAACATCCTGTGTATACATGTATTACCAGAGTTTAAATTTTGTGATATACAAAAGTTTTCATAACTGTACAAATAAATATCTTCTCTTCCCCGTGTCAAACCAGAAGAAGTATGTATCATAATAAACTTAAAGAAAATATGAATATTATAAAAAAAAATCTTTAAAAAAATAATTTTTGCTTTAAAAGATAATCAAACTAATATTTATGTTTCTATAATTATTTTAAAGAAATATTTTGATTCAAATTTTAATTTAAATGGATTTTGTATTATTTCGTAAAAAATTAAACGAGATTTCATTGAATATGATTTTATTATTTATTTTTTTAATTCAGTATTTTAAGCAAAATCCAGGCATTCAATAAATCGATATAAAGTTAAACTTGTGTAAAAAAATTTGTTACTGTATACATTTCAACAGAGACATATAATACAATTGCTCTGATTTCAACAACATTGTATACCCGACAATATTTATCGACAGAGTTATCGGTCCTGAATAGGACTGATATAGTTGGGTATGAAAGAATGTGGCGAGCTTAAACATGTTTGCTCTCAACCCCCCCCCCCCCCCCCCCCCTCCCTCCCCCTAACTTGGGACAGTGGTGTCACAGCACAACATAAGAACAAACTATTAAAATCAGTTGAAAAAGGCTTAACTCATCAGATCGATACAAAGAACATAAACACAGACCGGTCGTGGCAGGTTTTTATCTATTCCTCATCCCTAACAACAAAAAGGACAGTAAAGTACAGATCTGAGAGTACTCGCAGTTACTGACAGCTAGTTCAAAGCCAAAAGCCGTTAGTTTTCTCGTTTGAATTGTTCTACATTTGTCATTTCGGGGCCTTTTATAGCTTACTATGCGGTATGGGCTTTGATCATTGTGGAAAGCCGTACGGTGACCTATAATTGTTAATTTCTGTGTCATTTGCTCTCTTGTGAAGAGTTGTCTCATTGGCAATCATACCAAATCTTCTTTTTTATAATAACAACTAATAAAAAAAATCATGTTTCTAAGACTAAATTATCAATCAGTACACATCCAACATCAAATGGATTTAATGTAAGGACGTCATTAACAGTCAGAGAAAAACATGACCTTGTGCAATGCAAAAATGAAGGTATTGACAGACTTTTGTACCGTTAAAGTGCAAATGTTTATAACAAAACTGTTTAGTATGATTTTAATTGACTGACAAAAAAATCAATATTCATACCAATAAAACAATATTAAGATCTAATTACAGTGTACAATTGGTAACCTTTTAGAATAAGTTTATTTAAAGGATTGATAAGTTTACCCGGATCGTATATAAATTTCCGGGTTCGGTAAACAGCATCATGTTTATTTCGACTTATGAGTTTGAATGTCCCTTTGGTATCTTTCGCCTCTCTTTCTTAGACTGTGTATTGTATCATTGTTTGCATGCTCGGTTTATTTTAATAAAACACCAGATATGTATTTAATATATACTAGGTACAATGTGCATTTGTAATCAAAGTCCTACTTCATTTTATTCATCTAAAACACTACTATGACATATTTTGTTTTTATTAAAGGTGTGCTAGTGGACGACTTCAAACTAGAATCTATGATAAACATGATAAACGTTATGATTTTAGCTTTCTGAACGTCAAATTACTATTTATGCGACTGCTGCAAATAACTTGGTGCTTGTCGGTTTATATCTGATGAAGGACCTAACAAAACTTATGTGGAAACATACCAAAAGTTTCGTTTTTCATGTTAACGTTTTTAAATGAACGCTAAAGAAAGAAATGATGTGTGTCTTTTTTCTAGACTGCCTTCAATATCAGAAGCTAAGTGATGTAAGAAAGGCTGGAGATGCCTGATTTCCTGTAAATCCCTACGGAGTGCCTTAATTATTTTAATACCATAGCACAAGATTGAATCTTAATATTGATACTTGTACATACATTTGACAAAAAACCCCAACGTGTCTGCTCTGTATCCTTCTGTGAACACTAAAAAAAGAATGATGTAAAAGTCTCACTTACTGGAATCTTTGAATTGATACATGTGGTAGTTTTAAAAAACAAAGTTGTATTCTCTCGTCCTTTTAACCTTGTTAAAATAGTTATTGTATAAAAGGAAACCCAAACTAAATAAAAACAACTCATAGATCACAAGCATGAAATATTATTTTAAAGGTGACTATTAATTTTTCATAAACGGTCAAATACAATAGTAACTTATTTTTCTAGGAAAGAACTTAAAAAATACAATTTACTAGACGATATCCTGAACATAAACAGGAAAATTGCCTCACATTATTATGTGTTTGCGGATGTAAACATGGTAATTAACATGAACCTTCCGGAATAAAGTCTTAATATCAAATGTGCAACTTGAGCTTAAACATTACATTTTATCGAACGAGTTGATAATATCAAATATGAAAATTTTATAATTTCCAATTCAAGTTTGAACTTTATAATGTTTTAATAAGATGTGTAAACTGTCACGTGTTTTGTTTAAATATGTAACTAATTTATGTACATACTATCCATCATAGTCTTATATATGTTGGTTGGACTGTATAGTATCGTTAGTGTATTGAGTGGTTCGTAAAACATGTTACAGGAACCTCCTTCTGCAACTAGCAACCAACCGGCATCATTTTGACATCCTCCAAATGATTTGTTCACAAAGAAGCGCCTGCGCTTATGACTTAAATAAAACCAAATGATAAATTAGATATATTAAATAATAAATGTAAATATACATTATTTATACATCTATTAAAACCCATATCATATCCCAAAACCTTTAAGAAACCAGGATGTGATAACTGTAGCAAGTTCCTATCAATATTGTTTACATGAAACAAACATGTATCGTGTGCTTTATTGTTTGTTTATTATCTCAATGGGAGTTTTATCAGATTTCCTTATTGATATACAAAATGTCACATAACATTTGGTCACTATGTTACAACCCTTGATGAAGCCGACGTAGAACGACATTACTCGACTTTCAAGAAAAATATATTTTAAACAACATTTCGAAAAAGCATAGATAGCTTCAAATCCCCCTGACGGAAGAAAAAAACATTTGCCATGGTACTGTGTCATGCGTCCAAGACCATTCAGGCAAACCACCATTGTAATAAAGATTTCGTTATCCTTAGTCGAGTTATGCATTTTCTCGTCGGCTCCAGATAGGATATGTACTTGTTATGCATTTTGATGGAATACGTTGCAGATCAGCTATTTTCGTCGGAAAGTATGATTATTTTATTTAGCATGCAGTCATGTTGAGACCATTATATACAATCAAATATGTGACATACGAAAACAAATGATCTGCAATGTATTCCATCTACATGTCACAATACATCATGAATCTGGTTCAATCCCAGGTGGAACCGACGAGTTAAGGCATTACTCGACTAAAGATAATTATATTCTTTTATCACAGCTAGACGAGTGGATTGGACATAGAGTTGTTCCCATGAAATGATACATTTTAGAAGCATGTATTGAAATTCCGTTAAGGGAAAGCAAATATTTACTTTTGCAAATTTCCAGGTTGAATATTGTATAACGTATCAATATATATTCATATTTCAAATCTGCCTTTTACTGATGTCCTAAAATCAAATTATGTGTAAAATCTCATTGAAAGGTATCAATCGTCTTCAAAGCGGTAAAGTATTATCCAAATAACAATAATAATAATAATAATTATAATTATATATTATATATGGTTGAGCCATCTCTTTTTTTCTTTGGTTATAACGATCAGGTGATTCAAAGGTTATTCTATGTACCTGAAACCTTGTATCTATTTTAAGTATATGGACGTTGTGTTTCTATTTATACATATATATTGACGGTCAATATTAATCTTGCAAAATACAAAAAAAAAACTCACAGAGTGAACATGGTGAACTTTGAAGTCTATTTCTTGAATTCACTCGTTACATATGTAATATATAAATTAAAAACTTTCGCCCAATCAATACATTATATATGGACCTGTCAGATTATATTGACATTCATGCAGAGTTCGTCATTGGTCAGTTTAATCTGAACAGGTCAATATATAACGTATATGCAACGTCAAAATTCCATAATTGATTAAAATCATTTAACAAATTCAACAAATTAAAGTTAGTATTAACGCCTTTTCTAGGACTACATGACTGTATTGTTCTGATTTTTAATATTTTATTGTCATTGCTACAAGAAAGATAATGAATTTTTGGCATGCGCATACGATTTAGTCTGGGGCTTCTGGGTGTTTTGATTTTATCAAAACAATTTTATAAAAAAAGAAATTGGTTGTTTGTTTGTATGCATGTGCAATGAATTTTATGGTAAATGTATGCAATGACAGTTGTGTATTCACTTTTTTATGTTACATTTCTCAAGTATTAACAAGTTTCATGTATATCAAAATGTTATTTGATAAGTATCATGCTCAATAATAACATTGTTTCTCTATCCCCTATATGTTGAATCTCTACTTACCCTTCAATTGAAAAATGATAACCGCTGACACCAGGACTGGCAGTCTTCAGATCGATATAGGAACTGTTCAGCAGCCCATATTGACTGAACCAGTTTTTCTTATCTGTCCCAGAACCATTGAAATGTAAAAAAGCTTGCTCCAGACCATCTCTATATATAACTACCTTTACCTGTCGGTGTTGATTAAGAAAATTGTATATACTGTTTAATTATTCGAAAGTAAAATAGTCAAAGTTTCAAACTGATAATACAAATGTTACTCTAGATAAATGTATATCTAAATGTTAAGTACGTGTCCAAGTGAAAATATAAATAATGTATGCGAAGGATTTTAAATGATACTATATATTTTTTTACAATGTATGTTTTGTTTTTGCTTTGTTTTGCTATTGTGCTCTGCTGATAACTTTAGTTGATTTCCTTTGGTTCGGAAAGATATCAAGATTTGTCCATCCTCAAAAAGTCATATTGTCCTCAGCCATAAGAATTTTCTTGGACGAACAAGTCTTCATGTTTCCATCAGACAAGGGAAATAAATGCATATCGTCGTAATTAAGTTCTTCTGAGGAAATATATGTAAAGTGCATTAAAGCAATAAGAGATGTCGTGACAAAGTTCATTTTTACTGAAAGGTGCAAATAGAGATGATATGAAAAACTTCGAATACTTGAGTCCTATAAATGAAATATAAGGAAAGCTTTCATTTACAAATATAAATAATAATAAAACAACGCATACTTCAACTGACATTTGTCTATACTGGTTATTAGAAGACTTATAAACATTTTGAAGAAAATTTCAGAAACAACAAAATGCATGTTCCCATTCTTATCATTGATTAGTTTTTTTATAGAACATAAAATGACTCAATATTCAAATGTTCATTTCAATAAATACTTGATTTTGTGCATTTACTTTTTTGGGGGTTTTTGCTCTTGAATGAAATAGATTGTCAAAATAGATAATTCTGTATGTTTTTTCTTTTGCTATCAATAAAGTGTTGCAATTAATGAAATACGAGAAGGCGTAAATAAATGTCGTGTATTACATTCAAATCAGTATTGTTACCTGTTCGATGTCAATATCCTTCCAGTAATTAATGATATCGGACTTGAAATGCTTTCCATTTGAGATATTGACAATTTGTGCATCATTGTCATTAATATTGTAGGTTATCCCATCGTCCATAAACATATCATATACATTGTTATTTTTCTCTTGAAACAAAACAAAAAAGTAATTTTATGTACGGTGATGCTCAAATAATGATATAAGAAGTAATACGAAGCTAATTGTTTAACCATATAGTCAAAGCGAGTTACAATTTGAACATTGTGCTTTATTGTGCTCCGAAATCTCTGAGTATAAACGACTGTAGGAATCCAAATCTACAGCTTTAAGATAACAAAGCTATATTTCTTATAATGTCTTTTTTATATAAAGGTTGCATTTCTGTAAATTTTAACAATGCAATTTCCAATAGGAATTCCTTTCACGGCTAAAACTGTACCACTTTTACTATGAAGTTTTGAAAAAAATTATATCCTAGAATGGAAAGTTCGTATGCACTACTATTTTTTTCAAAGGTCAAAATATAGGGCTGTGCGGCATATTTTCAACGTTTATATGCCCCGAACTTCTAAGAGTTTAAACTTACATTAAAATTCTATACTACCCCCTACCTTGATTTAAGGATTTCCACAGATTTCAATTTTATCGCTATGAATATGTATATTTACTGGTAACATTCCCAAGTTATGTCTCTACGAGATGAAACATAGAGACATCCGGGAACCAGTACGTAAACAAAATTAATTATCTATGAATATTATATATATCCTCAAAAGAGGCGTGGTTTGAGAAAAAGTTACAAAGTTACAAATTGCAACCTATACTGACATGTATTCCAATAGAAAACTCTCTAAAAACACTTTTTCTCACAACAATACTTATTTATCAGAATTATAGCCTTAAAGAAATCACTGCATATGCCCTAAGTTTTCTTTTACAGTACTAGTACATGTTATACCCCCACCCCTGTATCAATGTTTTAAAGAATTTGAAAATAAGACTTTAATTATTGCCAGCTTACCCTATGTGCATGTTTTCTGACATAAAATGTCTAGAACCTGTTTGAAATTATTTTGTTAACAAATTGAAAGCATTTCAGAACACTATAAATGTAATTTTGGCAGCTAATCATTCCAACATTCAAGATTATATACATTATCCAATCCTGCCTCTGTCTCCAGTCCACATCTTACTGTATGCCTATTTGTCAATGAAAGTTCACAATTACTGCCTCAAATGGTCAGTTTAAAAATCTTGTCACAACAGTATCATCTCCTCCCATATATCTAACATTATTTAGCTAATATATGAACTAGAAGTGTTTAAACAAAGCCATATTTGCAAAAGTTGTATGTATGAAGATACCAGTCTAATGTATGAATTCACTAAAAGTTTTATAGAAATGACTGCTAACATCTCATTTTTGCATAACTTCCAAGCACAGTTATTGGTTTCTATACAAAAGACCTTTAAAATAATAAAGTCATAGCATTTACAAGTTAAATTATTTGTTTTATGACCAAAGGGATAGGCATTTTTCTCTGTTTTTTGCCTCCTAGGCCTCAAGTTTCCTAAATTATTCTGCTGTGTCTAGCAAAACGGAATATTTAGTGCATATTTAGGATAGAACACACTATTGTAAGTTTTATTGAGGTATTTTTGTATTTCTACCTTGTATTTTTTTATGCCGCGGTCACAAAAAAGCACATTTAGGTGTTACGGCTTACTTTTGGGTTATCAACAGGAAACAAAAACACCCCACCAATAATATTCAGGAAGGATCTATGAGTTTCAATGACTGCGAGAAGTAAATATAAGCACTTCTAAACAATTTGAATTACTAATATGCATATATTATGAATTTATTTTGCATTCAGGGCTTTAAGTAAACTATGCATACTGTAAACTGTGAATTTATGCTGAGTCATCATAGTTAAGGCCAAGGATTTTCTCAATCTTCATGAACTATTTATAAAACTCCATATTTGAGTTAATTTTTATTGAAATCTCTGAGATAAACCATATTTGTTAAATTCTGTATGTTCTCTTTTTTTGCCCAATATAGGTTGCATTTTCTACATAAGAAAATGCCTGTACCAAGTCAGGAATATGACAGTTGTTGTCCATTTGTTTGATGTGTTTGTGTTTTTTATTTGCCATAAGTGACTTTTCGTTTTGAATTTTCCTCGGAGTTCAGTATTTTTGTGATTTAACTTTTTTCTGTAAATATCAACAATGGAATTTCCCATAGGAACTCCTTTCACGGCTAAAACATTACCACTTTTACTACATGTATGCAGTTTTGAAAAAAAAAATATATCCTAAAATGGAAAGTTCATATGCACTACTATTTTTTCAAAGGTCAAAATATAGGGCTGTGCGGCATATGTTAACGTTTATATGCCCCGAACTTCTAAGAGTTTAAACTTACATTAAAATTCTATACTACCCCCTACCTTGATTTAAGGATTTCCACAGATTTCTATTTTATCGCTATGAATATGTATATTTACTGGTAACATTCCCAAGTTATGTCTCTACGATATGAAACATAGAGATCATATCCGGGGACCAGTACGTAACCAAAATTAATTATCTATGAATATTATATATCTCCCCAAAAGAGGCGTGGTTTGAGAAACAGCTGTATTTACAAAGTGCAACCTAAAAAAGTGTTTAACAGTGTTATGAAAAAGAACGACTGCCATCGACCTTACATAAGTTTACTGTCACCATCATGAATCGGTCGACAGATACAATGTGTCTGTATCGTAACTCACTAGCGACATTCTTTTGACACCAAAAACAAAGTCTGATCCATTCTTTTATACTGAGGGTGTCCAATTCCTAATTGTTATATTTTGAAGTATGCACATCAGGACACGCTTTCTCAGTTGACGTACATGGTTTCAATCCTTTTATAGTGCATTCGATTGCTGCTCTGGAAACTTTTAACTTATAAGGTTTTGGTTGTTCTTTAAGGTCGCATGTGTGTTTGTTGATTATTAAGAGAAAAAAAAGTGTCATACCCACGGAAATTAGTACTTTTATTAACTTTTATAAAATTTCAAAGTTACCTTTTGCATCAATTTTGAATACAAGTTTCCAATCTGTTGAATCTGTTTTCATTAGACTACCAGCCAACAACCACAAGAGTCCTGTAATTCAATACTTGTATATACACTGTTAATTCTTTATTTAATAAATGATAGGCTTTCTATTCATGCTGGACCTTTATATTGCAAATTAAAAGATAATCTTAAAAACGCATGTTCTAATTTTCTTTCATCTTTCAGCGGTGATGATTATCGCATGAAATATTGGTTATGCATTTTATTTCTATATAAATGAGAGGACAATAGCTGAAGAAGATGTGTTTATTCCCTGGTGTATGTTATTTTTGTAAAATGGCGTATGTAAAAAGTTGTATATACTAGACTAGGGAATAGAACTATGGTCGCTATAGGTCCTCTTCTGACCGGCAGTAAAACCCTTGCCAAAGTGGGGCGTCCTGTTGGCTGTGCGGGATGTACAAGTGTGCATCAACTTCCAGTTAGAATGGGGACTTCAAATGTGATGCCTCGTGTAGAAAGAGTGCCACGCTCTCTGCACGTTAAGAACCCTTGCAAAAACTCTTTGAGGGATCAGTGGGTGGCCTATATTGCAAGATCAAATTTCTGCCCCTATCCAACATACCCTCATTTTTTAGTGACTGTCTAAATTTCCCTGACCTTCTGCCTCTATTAAATGACTTACCTGTTGTATTTATTGTCAATTTGCCTTTATCCTGGACCAACAATCAATCAATCATCAAGACAATCTTGTATCATTTGTTAAGTAGACACTTATTATTTATCTATTAGGTCTTGGTACATTTCGATGAACTTTTTGAGAGAAAAAAACGAGACTTTTTTTACAAAACTCTGGCTCATTAATGTTTTGCTAAAACACCGATGGGGGTTTAAAAAGTCTGAGTAGCAGCAGCAAACTCTTGAATATCGTATGAGTTGAGAAATGTATACTCCATACGCGTGTGAAGTTGGTCCTAAGGTTGGGAAAATTTATAATTTCATAATTGAAATCATCTCGTTTGTAAATTGTTGTTACATCAGATTTATAACTTAATCAAGACAATATCTGAATTGAAAACAGAAGTTGGTTATAAGGAGCAGAGAACATATCTTATTATGTTGATTGCTTGTTTGTTGTTTGTCAATGTTCAGTGACAAATATGCAATGGATATTCAGGAGAAGAACAATTAATAATAAGTTCAATATGTAAGTTCTTAATGAATTTAACGTGACAAAGGACGGAAATTTCTACTGCCGCTAGAATATTAGGGAATATTGTATGTTGGAGACAAAAGGGGACAGAAATGTCCACTCTGCAGACCCGTAAAAGAGATCTTAAATGTAAAGTACAGGCAGAGAGCCTCTCTCTCTCTCTCTCTCTCTCTCTCTCTCTCTCTCTCTCTCTCTCTCTCTCTTTCTCTCTCTCTCCACAAGGCTTTTTTCTCAAAAGCCTCCATTTGGTAGGAGTAAGTACTGTTTAAGCCTTTTAAATGCTCTGATTTCAAATAAGGTATGAAAAAAAAATCATTAACGATACTAGGCTTATATTTGTGTACGCCAGACGAGCGTTTTTCATACGAACTCTTCATCCGTGACGCTCGAATAAAATAGTTATAAGGCCAAATAAAGGACGTCCCTATTATTAATCATAGTAACTTGAAAGCCCATTATACAACAAATATGAAAAATCAATATCAAAACTAACAGCATAATGAGATATATTTTCTAGTAATTTGGAGCAATCCGCTTAATTTTGTAATGAATGAATAAATGATGACAGAGTTTGGAAAATCAAAATATATCAAAGCTTAACTATCGACTTTTAAAGTTTTACTATCTTCTTTCAAGCAAATAATTGTACAATTCTAATCGAAAATTTTGACAAGTTATTGCTAAAATAAAAGAGGTGGAAAATACCAGAGGACATCCAATCTATATATTTTTGTTATCAATTTGAGGGAAAATTAAATGTAATATGACTAAAATGAGCTGTGTAGTAAACATCAATGAAAAGGCAGTCGAACCACATCTAGAGGGCAGCATACTGTCATCAACAATAGACAGGTGTCTATGCAATATATCAACGTCTGAACCTTGCCGAGTCTAAAGGTTAAAAAGAAATAAACAGAAACAAACAAAGATCTGTTATCAACATGACATTCTCCAAATAAAACATAACATTGATAAATGACTAGAATTTAGATAACAACTGCAAATGTTTCTGACTGTGGTACACCATATAAATATTTGGCGGGGTTAAACTAGAGTTACTTAACTTCATAAATCCTCGGCTATGTTTACTTGAACAGAAGACTAACAAAATAACATAAAGAAAATACAATAAAATCAGTACAGGAAAGAACTAACTTTGAAATAATGGTATTATTATAAAAGGTGAAACAGAATGATAAACAATACTTTTTATAAAAATTCATCGCAGTTATCGAAACAAAGCTCAGTGTATCAAACCTAATTTTGTTATTTTTTTATAAGAACACTGATACACTTTTTACAATACTGTTATTATCATAAGAGTTTTCACTAATAATAATTCATATATAATTGGTTAACGATGGTACAATCATAAGTCAGAAAACAGAACCAAGTGTATACAAACATTTTCTGGATGCAGATATACAACAATATGAAAGAGTTTCTTGTGAAATGAATGGAGCCAATACATAGCGGAAATCTTGTGTTGTTCAGCAGCAGAGAGGAAGCAAAAAGATTTGCATTATGTTATCATTCAAAGAGACGGGGTTGTATTGTACCAAACTGAGTTTCGTAATTTCACATAATTTTCTTGGCTTTTCAAATTGTCTTTGAGATTTGTATATATATAACTTTCCATCACCTTTCGAAGCCTATTCAAAACTGAATGGGGCATATCAAAATGATCTACGTTAGCAAGTATCGGGTCAAACTGTTTTTCCTCCTTAACACAGGAGATGTGGAGATAGGAAGAGACCAAATGACGTGTATGTAAGCAACAATTCGTCACCGTAATGCCTTGTTAGACCTCGTTATGGAAAGGACTGACTCGGAAACTATAATACTAGTAGTTAATCAAATAAAAAAAGTAATTCGTAGAAGAAATTTGAGACATCAGGGCCAAAATTAGTTGTGTTGAGTGGAATATGTACAAATCTTCCATAAGGAAGATGATTCCCTTCGAAAATTCAGGAAATTGTATGAGTGCCCATAACTAGAGAACAAAAATTCATAGGTACTGTATCAGTTCTCATCACTGCAGTTTAGACCATGATAAAGGTAAAAAAAAATAGAGGTCATTTTAACTTTTCTAAGTTAGAAACTTGTTATGAGATTAACTAAGCAACTGTAATAGTTAAAGAAAAAGTAAATAGTTGAATTGCTTTTGGAAATCAAGTTTGTTATAAATTGAAAGAAAAGCTACGACCACTGCATAAGGGAGATAAGTTGTCATACCCGGAAACTCTTAGTCGTAGGAACCGGAAATCTTATTTTTGAGTTCCTTAACATGTGACATTGATTAGGTTATAAGGTCAAAGTTAAGGTTCCACGTTTAGACCATTTTTATGAGTTTGTCAGAAACCGTTAGAGTAAAATAATAAGTTAATAGTGAAAAATTTTTGTTGACATTAAACCAACGCTATAATAACATAAACGGTACCTATTTTTCTGCACCAGATGCGCATTTCGACAATCAATGTCTCTTCAGTGATGCTCGAGTCCAAAATATTCGAAAATCCAAAGCTTATTTAAAATATGAAGAGCTATAAACCAAAAAGAACCAAAAAGTATAGCCAAAGCTGGGCAAGGAATCAGAGCTTTGCATGAGGGAGATACATTCCTTAATTTTAAATCATTTCCAAAATTTTGTAACAGCAAATTTTAATAATACAAAATCCGTATTTTCATGTAACCGTCATTATGTTTTGAAGGAAAAAGCTACTACATATATAATCCCATCTATTGTTTCAGTGACCATAACTCGGAATATATTAGTAGTGTGGTCTTTGTATCTTAACCCTTTGACTCCATGCAATCTTAATGAAGATGAAAAAGTTAAAGGAAAAATAACCTCTTTTGAACCACAAGTACCATTTCTCTTCAAAAATGTTTTTACACAAAATGTATAACATTTCACACTAATGAATTAATAAATATTTCTTGTATATAATGCATGTTGGGAGATATATTTTCTTGTTTTTTTTTTATGCATGGTAAAGCTCACTGGTTTTGTTTAATCTATGCAAAATAGCTCTATAGACATGATAGAAAGATTCCATTTAATGTATTTTACACCTTTATGACTTAAATAGCATACAATACTTCAAAAAAAGTATTGAATATATATATATATATATATATATATATATATATATATTACAACTCTAAATTCTACTGACGAGGAAAGGTAACATTAGGCCACCGAAAGCTGAATTATTAGTTCAGTCTAGGTGGCCGAGTGATCAAGTGCGATGGACACAGTGCAGGCGGTGTTGTCTCGATATCACAATATCAAGAGTTCAAGTCCCGACGAGGGAAGAACAAAAATTTGGTTCCGCAAATTTGCAGATTTAACATTATTGTGCTGATATTTAGAGTAGTTATGATATATATATATATACATACAAGTCTAAATTGAAAACAACGTTCAAACCTATGATTGCGTTGGATAAAAACAGCAATTTTTATACGTGTGCATGCAAAACAAATTTCTTGTTAGAGGGGTCTAAATACAGCACAAACAACATTTTCCAAAAGACCAAAAAGGTGAAAAAGTATATTTTAACAAACGCATTTGACTAACAAATGTTCTTAAACCCTGCTGACTGCCATTGGCGATTGCCAAATAAACGGATCCCCGATGTAATAACATGGATCTTAATTATAAATTTAACACTAAACAGAAAACAATAAACTTGCGGAAAAGATGGTATACCGCAAACAAAAGGTGCAAAGGTTTTCGTACACCATATCCGGATTTCGACAATTTATGTCTCTTCAGTGATGTTAGGAATCGAAACGGTATTTGGAAAGCCATACAATTTACCTCAATTTAGGATAGACTCTTGAATTTTGAGGAGTCAAAATAGGATGAACGGATCATATAACCCCGAAGGCAAATATAATACAAGCCAAAACGAAAAAATATAAACAAGTCTAAATTGAAAACAACGTTCAAACCTATGATTGCGTTGGATAAAAACCGCAATTTTTATACGTGTGCATGCAAAACAAATTTCTTGTTAGAGGGGTCTAAATACAGCACAAATAACATTTTCCAAAAGACATAAAAAGTGAAAAAGCATATTTTAACAAAACGCATTTGACTAGCAGGTCGAACAACAAATGTTCTTAAACCCTGCTGACTGCCATTGGCGATTGCCAAATAAACGGATCACATATGTAATAAATGGATCTTAATTATAAATTTTAACACTAAACAGAAAACAATAACTTTGCGGAAAAGATGGTATACCGAAAACAAAAGGTGCAAAAATTATTGTACACCATATCCGGATTTCGACAATTAATGTCTTTTCAGTGATATATATAAAAACAAGTCTAAAATGAAAACAACATTCAAACCTATGATTGCGTTAGATAAAAACTGCAAATTTTATACGTGTGCATGCAACACAAATTTCTTGGTAGAGGGGTCTAAATACAGCACAAACAACATTTTCCAAAAGACCAAAAAAGTGAAAAAGTATATTTTAACAAAACGCATTTGACTAGCAGGTCGAACAACCGATGTCCTTAAACCCTGCTGACTGCCATGGCGATTGCCAAAAAAACGGATCACCAGATGTAACAAAATGGATCTTAATTATTAATTAAATACCAAACAGGAAACAATAAACTTATATAAAGTATACGTCTAAAAAAGAGACATAAGCAAAACCAAAAAAAAAAAAAAAAATAAAACAATATGAAACAAAAAATACAAAATTCATTATATATTTCGGATAACAAATATCCTTCATCAGCATGAGCAGCCTGTGTAAAATGGCGTCACTAGCTATGATAATGTTCACCAATATTGACCATTATACAAATCAAACACCAAACATCGTTTGTAGAAAAGATATAGTTTCAATTCAATTATCTCGTTTGTATCTTACTGCTGACTTTGTATATCTTTATTTCACTACCACTAGGTTGGTGCAAATATTTGAGAAGTGACACTCTCCGATTGTTTCACAACCTATTCACCAGAGTGCTAAAGTTTTATAACTACATGAAAAAACTAATGATTTATAGTTCAAGTTTACAACTCTCTATGCAAAATTGACGTAGTAAATAGTGAATTTACTGGCAACGCCCTTTTTTTACATTAATAATCTACATTATGATATCGTATCTCACGACGGGTAGATATGTACTGAAATCAATATTATAATATCACAATCGCTTTGAATTGTCTTTGTTGTAGTATCACAATTTTATTGCCAAATGATCAAATCCGTCGGAGGATTTCTAAATGGTAAGATTCCTTTTTCAGCTGATTAACCTAAGTGTGAAAATGATGTTTATATGTTGTACCACATTAAAACTTATATCTCAAGATTTTAATATGAAACCAGTTCATCGAAATTTCTGATGCTTTTTCGCATACCCAACGATCAAATGGACCTGAATTTACATTATTGTTTACTATGAAACATATTACATTTTTCTCATATTGACAAAGGAACTATTTTGTTATCCTTTTATTATAATCCATTATAATAACACTCGTAGAACGCTCATATTTAAAAGGAAGAATGTAATTCTGATAGTTTGAAGAACCGCCATCCCTATGTTTAAAACGAGGCATTACTAGCTATAACAAATAACAATATTACTGTCGTTTCTCGCGTAAAAATAAGAGATACAAAGGCTGGTTATTAGGATTGTTGGACGAAAAAAGATAGGCAACACAATGCCCGAAAGAAAATATTTTACAAGACTCACATAATTCACTTCACAGTGAACTAACTTTTGCGCAACAGAAACTCCACCAAACGTGGAAAACTCATGATCTTCGTAATGATAAGCAGTTCTACTAGTGGCACCCGTCATATGATGAACATTTTATCGGTTGAATGGTCAACATTTCGTTTTAAAACACAAACAAAGCGAAACAAAATGCAAAATATATCTGTAATTGAATGAAACATATAGGTATACCATAAAATTGAGAATGGAAATGGGGAATGTGTCAAAGAGACAACAACCCGACCATAGAGCAGACAACAGCCGAAGGCCACCAATGGGTCTTCAATGCAGCGAGAAACTCCCGCACCCGGAGGCGTCCTTCAGCTGGCCCCTAAACAAATATGTATACTAGTTCAGTGATAATGGACGTCATACTAAACTCCAAATTATACACAAGAAACTAAAGTTAAAAATGATACAAGACTAACAAAGGCCAGAGACTCCTGACTTGGGACAGGCGCAAAAATGCGGCGGGGTTAAACATGTTTTTTGAGATCTCAACCCTCCCCCTATACCTCTAGCCAATGTAGAAAAAACAAACGTACAACAGTACGCACAGTAAAACTCAGTTTAAGAGAAGTCCGAGTCCGATGTCACAAAAATAAAGAAGAAGATACCAAGGTGGCAAGTAAAAACTATCAGCAAAAGACAAAACACAACATATCACCAAATGAAAAACAAAAAGAAGTTTTGGAATGAATAAAATGTGTACAAGACATAATTGGAATAGATTAAGATTGATTAATTTTTTTATCGCCTCGGTGACATAAGATATTTAACGTATATTTATCATTGTTATCGTAATTCAAAATGGTCGGCATGTATATGTAATGAACAATATCCAAGGTAATAATTATTGCTGAGTTTCTAAACATGACTTGTATTATGAAAATAAGATGATGTGGTGTGATTGCCAATGAGATAACTCACCATCAGAGACTAAATGACATAGAAGTTTATAACTATAGAATGTTTAGGTCTCTGTACGGCCTACAACAATGAGCAAAACCCATACCACATAGTCAGCTTTAAAAGGCCCCAAAATGAAAAATTAAAAAAAACAATTCAAACGAGAACATTAACGGCTTGATTTATGTACAAAACAATGAACGAAAAACAAATATGATATACAGCAACAAACGACAACCACTGCATTACAGGCTCCTGACTTGGGGCAAGCACATACAGAATGTAGCGGGGTTAAATTAGTTTGTTGGCGCAAATCCCTCCCCCTAGCATAGGACAGTGGTGTAACAGTACAACATTAGAACAAACTATAAAAATCAGTTTAAAAGGGCTTTACTTATCAGATCGATACAAAAAAGAAAAACATCTCACAAAAACACTGGACGTGGCAGGGTATTTATACATCCCTGCATCAAGAAAGACAATAACAAAATGCCGTTTATCAAAATAGAAATGTTTTGAAAGAAACAAACAACTTACCTATTAGAGGCATATCAAAATGAATATTGTATCTACTGAAATACCACTCGGAAAAATGTAGGGCATGCAATTATATCATTTGTTACATATATTGACGAAATGGTATGCAATGATTATTGATTGAACAAGTAAAAACTAATAGAACTCATGATATAATTATCTTTAATTTCACGCTTCATATTTAATTCATGGCTATATTTACAGGAATTACATATCATAAAATCAATCATATCAAATGTTTTTTTTATTTCCGTTTATGATTTTTAACATAATATTAATTGCAATGAATGATCCCAAAAGATTAAACATAAAAGTATTTTCTGACAAAATACTCGGTCGAGAAATGACGCTGAATCAGTTGGCGTCTTTGTTAGATTGATGTGTATGTTTGTTTGAATTTTTTAGTTTGTTGAGTTTTATGTCTGTTATGTAAGTTTACACAGTTTTGGCTGGTGGATCCCAATTAATGTCAAATTAACCTAGTATGTCTGTTTGGGTTGCTCACCCAATTTAGTCAATATAACGGAACTATAAACAACTGTCATACAAGTGGGAGATTTAACTAGCTATACGACAAGGTTTAACCCACCATTTTCTTTGGAAAATGCCACAACCAATATAAATAAGAAGAAGTGGTATTAGTGCCAATGAGACAACTCTCCATCCAAGTCACAATGTATGAAAAGTTTTTCAAGTCAGAATTATATTGGCAGTTGTTTATCACTTGTTCCGTTGATTGATAGCGTTTGATTTTGAGAGTTTTTATGAACTTCCCCTTTTTGAATTTGCATTGGAGTTCGGTATTTTTGTTAAACTTTTTTTATATATGAAAAGAAATGTTGAGTTGTCTTGTCATGGTGAAATGAAATGAGCCTTCATGGACACAACATTCTATTCTTTTCATAATTTAGATTCTCAATGAACAAGTTATTCTTGCATCAGCATCTATACTACTAAAGGAAGAGACCGATTTCATTGAGCCGCAACCCCTCTGAAACCATACAAAGTCGAAAATATTTGTGATATGACGTATAAATGTAGTGTGTTGTACTTCCTAAATTTGTCTTTGAAACAATCTTTTTTTTTCCACAGAAAACGCCAATTTTTGAGAAAATATCCAAATTCGGAGACCGTTATCGATCCGTATCTTATACGCTTTCGCGCATGCTCAGTCGACGTACTGCCCACGAAATCCATATGAAAGTAAGAAGAAAGGATAGAAAATAGGACAGTTAGGCCTATAAGGATCCTGTATTGTATTGTAAGTGCATCATTTGGCTAAATTAAACGACATCCACCCTTTTTACTAAGGTGCAGAACCGTCCAAAAATGAAATGGGCGTTGAACGTGTCGAAGTGATCCTCCCTCATTTTTATGTGTTAACTAAGGCACCCGACGTCCGGACCCTTTTTGCCCAATTGTACCGCGATTTCGCGGGCATCTTCTAGTATCTACTATTTTAAACAAAAACATTTTTTTTAAATATCTCCAAATGCATTGTAAATACATTTTTAATCAAGAATTTTCCAACTTATGAATATTCATGAATACTTTGACGTCACATATGTAAAAGCACGTAAAGAAAAGTACAATGACTGTTACTGAATCAAAGGCTAAATTATTTAATATCCTGCCATTCGTCCATGTTATATCGACAGTTGTACCTTGGAGATGATTTTTTTTACAGTAACGTAATAAAAAGGAAAAGGGAGAGAGAAAAAAGTTATGAAAAGCCAAAAGCAAAAATTTAAAAGTTCCAATGTTAGGTAAAAGTAACGAGTGATGTTTTAATCAACAGTTGATGCCTGAGATAGGACAGTCACATGACCATGTTGCGAAGTAAAAGTATTTTTAGGTTCGTTAAATGCCTAAACTCATATAAACCTTTTAGCAAACTTTAATCGTATGTGTTTTTAATGAAAGGTAATCCAGCAAACATCTATAAAACCGGATTATTTATATTGAGGTATTGATTTTGTTTAAACATCTAGTATATTAAATGCCTCTGCCGGGTCTTACTAATAAGCGCCAACAAGCGACAAAAAAAAATATTTTAGCGACAGGAAAATAAATTTAGCGTAAAAAATATATATCAAATATTGCAAATAAATAAATGTCGAAAGATATATTAATGTGTTTTTTTTTAAATAAACGTGTATTTTCATTATTTCTTTATTCTTATAGAAGAAAATAAACATTTGTTAAAGAAAAGAGTTATTTTTATTTTCAAAGATATGTTTAATATACATATTATTCTGTCTAAACAGGAAAAAATGTAAAAATATTTACATTACTAATTATAATTATTCGACCTTAGTATAATCAGATGATTGGAGGATTAGATCCAGGTTTAATCCACCATTTTCTACATAAGGAAATGCCTGTACCAAGTCAGGAATATGACAGTTGTCTATAAATATATTGTATTAACAGAATATAAACTTTTTTGGTTATTTTTTTCTTATTGACACTTTTTTTATTCTTCTTGTCGCTTCTTGACGCTACTTGCTGCTAAAATTCTTCTTGTCGCCAATTAGTAAGACCTCCTCTGCCGATCAAAAACTTCACTTCCCTACTTTGATAGCGCCACCTATTAGTTCGGAACGTTACAAAACCAGTACCATGAACCGTAAACGTCGAAGTTAAGGTAGTATCCATACTGCCATGAGGGAACTTAAACATCGTCAAAGAACGAGAGGTTATACACTTTAGAAAACCGGACTAAACTCGTTCTTTGTCGAAAAACTTGAAAAATATATACGTTAGTCATCAAAAAAGCTTTATCGTCCCATTTCGTCATTTTTGTAAAACTTATTATTTTGTTACAAGGCATATAAAAAACGAATTAATTATGTTAAAACAAACAAAACCTTTTGGTTGCTTTAGATAAATAACGTGATTTTGACGATTCTTCTAATTCGGTTGACAGTTATAACTTTATGACACTCTAAACTACAGTCTAACAAAATGTTATCAAACAGAAATTTTCTGAATTAATTAATTAGTTCTTAAAGTTAGATGAGATTATCAAAGCTGTTGATTTTCTTCTTTAAAACACCAATGTATAATTCGACATAAAGTTTATCGACAGGTTGTAGGTATACCTATGAGCACCGATTGATCTCTTATAACAAAGACCTGTTCCTGTATTGATATGAATCATCGTAAATCATTATAAAGATCCACCTCATTTTATTTGAAGGGGAACTTAATAACACTTACGGTTACCTTTATGATTTTTTTTGTTTTTGTTTTAAATAATCACGAAACCTCTATTCATACTACAGTAACCTGATTTTGAATAAATCTAAAAAAAAACCAAAAAAAAAACCAACATTTTGGGAAGCCAAGTAAAAAAATGAAAAGAAAACAATGAAATAAAAGGCGTCAAATATAAATAGTAATTTGCAGTTTAGGACAATTTTGTCTGAATGATTAGGATGTACGTAACAAATGTCGTTTCATAACAGTACCCCAATTAAATGTTAACAATTGCAATAGCAAAGTGTCTGAAACATTGAAACTACCGTTCAAAAAAAGATTTTTTTTGCAATTTCGATTCATATTTGGTATTTAGTATAAAGATAGCATAGATTATTTTATGGATCGTCGAGTGACAAAAATTGTATGCTTGCAACATAAGAACGTATATAAAGATATTGTTCTCAAAATTGAACCACGTATCAACCTTTTTTGTTTCGTTTGTCGAAATTGTATTGATGTAATATACTTTTAGAAACATGGAAGACTTCGATGGTCCGGTCAGTATATACAGCTGTCATATACTTAGTATGGTGCATTTCGTTTAGACAAAATGGTCAAAGAAAGCTTGTCTTTGTCTACCATTCAAACGCATTAAAGTCCTGTGCATATTTGGTCATTTATCGATTTATCTTGTCCATATTTTATTTCATTCTTTTTCTATAGTGGGCGACAAAGTTTGTTCGAATTTCATTGTTAATATTTCACATCACAGTGATGTTTTTTTTTTTATTAGAAAATATCTGTTTTGTACTATATTTTATATATGTAATATATTTCCGTTTCATTTGCTTCATGTTCCATGTTATGTTAATTTTCTTCTGGGGCGTCATTTACTTTCCTGCAAAAATATAGGCTTTATTCACTATATTTTCGCAGATTATTTCGAGTTATTTCTCTTTGTTCTAGCTATACAAAATCTTGCAATGATTTTGTAAAACTAAATTGAAATAAGCATGCGTCGTCAAATAAGAACTTATGCATACTATATAAAAATCTGAGTGGAAAAGAGCTTGACATGTGGTAACGATAATTGACTACTGTTGAAAATCCACCATTTTCTACATTTGAAAATGCCTGTACCAAGTCAGGAATATGACAGTTGTTGTCCATTCGTTTGATGTGTTTTGTCATTTGATTTTGCCATGTGATTAGGGACTTTCCGATTGAATTTTCCTCTGAGTTCAGTATTTTTGTGATTTTACTTCTTTTTTTTTTTTTTTTTTTTTTTCCCAACAATAAATTAGTGACTTTTGATGTATTGTGTCGAGAAAGGTTATTGTCTCATGACATTAAAATGTATACTTCACATCTCTTTATTTTATTTACTAGTATAATGCACATTTTTTCTTTTTCCTTTTTGGTGTTTTCAAGTGCGCGCTGTATTTTGTATTATGAGCTGATACACCATATTGTTTCTTTCCCATTCAACAAGTTAACTCTTTTGAAAAGGTATTGAAACGAAGCTGAGATACTGTCTGAGGACCTTTCAAAGGATTTTGTATCTATTAGACAGCAACCCAACATTTCTTAAAGTCTAAATTAGGGTAAGGGCGACCTATACTTTCGCTCTATGACTTCACAAATATGATTATATCCGTCTCTATAATATTTTAAAGTTATTGTATGTATATTATTTACCGGTTTATGCTACCAGTTTATACATATTTTAATCTTTGTGTTCACGATATAAACTATATGATGGATATAATACTCAAGCATCCTCTGTCATATGTAGCTTCTAGAACCTTATTCAAACCGTTGATAAAGAGAGACTAGTCTGTTCATACGACTTACTAGATGCTAACCTC